GCCGCGACCTGTTGCGCCTCCTCGGTCCGCCGTGTGTCTACCTAGACCGCGTCTCCTCCGCACGCCGATCAGCCGCCCACCTGGAGTCAGTCCCAGGCAAAACCAAGAAAAAAAAAGGCTGCGAGAGCCCTCCGGAGCGCAGCCCAAGAAAGGTGACCAGAGGAGACAGACCAGATCACCCCAGCAGCAGCCGGTGGCGACGCTCCAGCCGCGGCGGCCCGAAGGCTCTCCGCAGCCCCGCGCGTGTGCGAGCCTTAAATACCCTGCGGGATGCTCGGCCAGGAGAGAGTGCGCGCAGGCCCCGAGCGCGTCGTCCCTCCCCGACCCCCTCCCGGAGCCTTGCGGCCCGCCCCCCCTCCCAACGCCCCGGCTGGAAGCCGCCTCATTAGCATAATATATTCACCTTCGCCAGACTCCAGCCCGACCGTTCCCTAGCGCGCCCCCTCCCTCCCAACGTCCGAGCCGGAGCCCTCCTCATTAGCATAATATATTCACCTTTCCCCGTCCTCCTCATTAGCATAATATATTCACCTTCTCCCCCTCAAGTCTACTGGACACGGAGACACACACACACACACACACCCCACCCGGGGGACGCGGAGCTCGGGTGGGAACTGGTCTGGAGGTTCCTTATTAGCATAATATATGCAAATATTTGGATCAGCCCCTTGATTGGAGATTGGAGGTGGCTCCTCCCCCTCCACAGAGTAACTCCGGTGTCTCCCCCGCCCCCTACCACTCCCTGGCCGGCCCGGACGAGGGGCCGATTCGGGGTCTGCTGTACCGTAGGCGATCACTTTGGGTTATAGCGATTCATCCCAGAGCCTTTTCTTTAGCCCGGTAAAAAAATGGAGGCATCGCCTCCAGAAATGAAAAAATGCAGCCCCCAGCTCTAGCCCGCCCCTTGACAACGTTTTTCCCGCCTTCCCAGGCGCAGGGTCTGCAGGCTCCCCGCTTTCTTCCACTTTTCGGACCGGGGGACCTTCCCTCTCCCCTCCCCCAGCTCCCTCCAGCCTTGACTAGGTTGAGTCCCCGCCGCCCCCAGCTCTGCTCCTCATTCCTACTAAGGGTGCTAATGCGTTTTCCTGATTCCCTGTTTTGTGAGATTGAAAGGGGGTGTGTTGAGGCACACACATGTCTCAGGATTTAAGGAAAGGACTGAAGAATGAGGTCAATTTTTCCTTTTCCCTGACTCCTTCATTCTGTTCCCTCTGGATCGAATTACAAGATCTCTAATGGGATATTTGAAAGTTAGGAACAAGTAGCATTTTTTGTGGAGGAACGGGGATGGCCCTACTTCTTATTCCAAAGAACTGCTTATCTCCTCCTCGAAAACATAAATAAAAATACTACCTATTTTTCTTCATCACAGCCATACCTTCCTAAGAGTCCACATCGATTTTTCCTCTTTGCTCTGGTATGGGTGTGTGCCAGGATTCGATCTCAGGGCTTGTGTGCTGTCCCTTAGCTTTATCCACTCAAGGCTGGTACTCTATCACTTGAGCCACAACTCTACTCCTGGCCTTTTTGATGATTAATTGGAAATGAGTCTTATGGACTTTTTCTTGCCTGGGCTGGCTTTGAACCTTGATTGTCAGATCTCAGCCACCTGAGTAGCTAGGATTACACTCATGAGCCACTTATGACTTTCTTATACCTCTTAATAAAGATAACCTGCAGTTGTTGCTCAACGAAACCCTGCACAAAGCTGATTTTTCTCACTTGTGTGAACAGATACTGTTGGGTAGGAAGAAGGAGACAACCTGGAAGAAAAAACTTTTATGAATTTTGCTGTCCAATCAAAAAAAAACCATACTTCCTTACATTTGTATTACTAAGAATTTGTTCACTAAGAATGACTGAATGGAAAAAAAGGTCCCATCACCTGAGGCCTCCCACAACATTCAAATTCGGAAGATCTCATGCCAGATTTTCCCAGTCAAAAGCTGCTACTAAGATCAGAAACACAATCCATGTCTTAACTAGTCCAGTAAGCAATTGGATGCACACTAAAATTTGGTGTAACACTTGAAGAAAGAACTTTTTTTTTTCTTTTGAAAATCTCAGAACACTAGCATGCCAAAGGAGGAAATATAGTCCTTTCTAAGTCACATTTCATGGCGATAAATTTATTTTCAATAATAGTGTAGGCGTTAGAATCTTTTTCTGTCAAAAGTAGTTGCTTAGCATAAGTACCACCATTTTGAGGGTAGCTGCCATTATACAAGAAAGCTATTTTAATCAAGCCTCATCCTAGTGTAAGAACTGTTTTCCTAAACTGAAGACATGGCACTCTAGCTGTGTAGGTAATTGTTTTTCAGACAGTTTGGCTATATGTCCTAGTTTTGGTTGATTGCTTGGGTAAACTTTTAACCCCTTTCAAACTAGTCAATCGTGCAAGTTTGAATTCAGGTCCTCTTGCTTGTCCTTTTTTGTACTTCTTATTTTTGAAATAGTGTCTTGTTTCCTTCCCAGAAAAACATTGGGACCTCAGTTCACCTGCATTAGGCTTTTCATTCTGGCTGGGATGACAGGGCTGTGCCACGGTGCCCAGCTTCTTTCCATGAGATGGCATCTTGCTGACTTTTCTCCCAATCTCACAGTGTGATCTTCTTGTTCATAGCTTCTCAAGTACCTAGGATTACAGGTATGAGCCACCAGTGCTGGACATGGTACTTTTTTTTTTAAAATATATCAACAAGTCTGCTTTTCCAGTTCCCTCTGTAACAATTCTTTTGCCTGTTTCATTTTTCCTCTTCTTCACCTCTGCATGTTTGTGCCCTTGGGGCTCTGTCCTATGCGGTCTTCTAACTCTATACTTGCACAAATACAATTCCTAAATTACCAATTTTTATGAATGAGCCATAAGTCCATTGAGTAAACCCAAACTTCTTGAGACTCAGCAACCAATTCCTATCATCTTCACTGGAGGCCCAGCTTAAAATTCCCCTTCTTTTTTCTCATTTCACGAGATAGATAGTTGCTATCAGCTTTATAACGTCGGTGGGGGGGGGAGGGAGGAGAAGGATTGGGATTGTGGGGGGGGAGGCTGGGAAGTGATGTGAAGGGTAAACAAAGGAGGAGGCTGCAATGCTTGGTAAGAAATATACGCATTATCCTGCCCATGCAATTGTAACCCCTCTGTACAGTATGTTCACAAATAAAATTAAATTAAATTAAAAAAAACAAGCCAAAAATAAAAAAAACAACACAGTAGTTAAAATCTCCTTCCCTCTTCCCTCCTTTTGTCTCTAATATTTTCTACTGTGCTCAGGATGAAAACTTTATAGCTGGCATCATCTCATTCTTGTCATTTCAACAGCATTCTGGCTCATTCTTCTCCTCTCCAAACCAATTTGAGTGAAGTATAGGGACAAAAAAAAAAAAAGAACTTTGGGACAAGGTACAGTGCCACCCCTTTAAAACTTCAATAGAGAAGCCATTTTCCATCCCTACCAGCACAGACAGTATGTGACACATTTTTTTGAAAGTACACTTTGTGGAAATTGGCCATGAGAAGGTACATGAGCAACTCTTGAAAGCTCTCCAAACTATCAGATCTTAGGAGAGAGATTGAGTTGGAATTTGAGACCTTTATCCAGAGGATTAGATTTGCTTTATGTCTTTGGTGGTCACAATACCTCAGAAATTCACTGGCCATTATCTCTACAGTTTCAAAACCCAGTAGATTCTCTGCATTAAGCACAAAGAACGCATGGATTAATAAAGCTCTGGGAGTTAAAATATGTGTTACTCTGTGGAGTCATGAGATCATGGCTATTTTGGTTTCTATGTGGAGAAGGATTTTTACTTTTTTTTAAATTTTTTTATTGTGAAAATATTGTACAGAGGGGTTACAGTTACATGAGCAAGGTAATGAGTACATTTCTTATCAAGCATTGTTGCCTCCTCCTTTGTTTTCCCCTTACCATCCCTTCCCTCCCACCTCCACAACTACACTACCCACCCCCCCCTAAATTGTAAAGTTCATTTTTTGACTTAGCATCTTGTGCATCTCATTGTTGCAGTGGGCCCACCTGTATCCCTATTTAAACAATTTGTTTTTTCCCTTCTGCTCCCCAACTTATACCAACATCAAATACAGTGTAAACAGGGGTTATACAAAGCAACAAAAAAAAATCATGTGGTACCTTATAAATACATTAGAAACAATAGCAAGAAAGAAAAACCACTTGTGTCTTCATCTTGGAGTTCATTTCGCTTAAAGTCATCTTATCTGACCTTTTCTGCTTGTCTCAGGCATATACTAGTTATTGCAAATAAGGGA